CTTTTAAATTTTTAATTTTGAGACTGGGCATTGCTAATTGTCCAGGCAGGGCTTGAACTCGGGATGTCCTGCCTCAAACTCCCAGTACTCCCAAAGTGCTGGGATTACAGGTATAATCCTGTGGCCAGGTCAATATGTATTTATTAAAAAGTGACTCTCACATTAATCAGTAATTTTATTTAGGGAGTTGGGCAAGTTACCTAACTTCACAAGTTCTTTTCTGTCCTGGCTATAGTATGAGGAGGAAACAGCTTGATAAGTCCTTTTTTGTTTGTTTGTTTTGCTGTTTTTCCATTTTTTCACCTATGACTATTCAAAGATGTCACTAAAGAAAACTTTCACAGGCACTCAGTACATTTCGGCCAACAATCTTTAAGAGCCACCTGCACTTTTCCAGGGAATTATTTAACCTCTCTAGGGGTGCAGCATAGAAGCATGTGTGATAATTAGACAATAATTTTTCAAAAAGGGTACTGTCATGACTCAGACAGATGTGAAAATGACATGTTAAGCACATATTTTATTCTACTCATTAATGAAGGAGCAGACTGACAGATGCTAATAAGCAGCTCAAAAGAGAAGCAGCAGGTGTATATGGAAAGGAATAGCAGGGAGAGCAAAACTGGTTTTTCCACCAAGGGGGAGGGGAGCCAATTGGGCTTTTTCCAGCTGGGGACAGAGAAAGAGCTTTGGCATCGTGATCCACCACTTCCTGTGCTAGAAATAGCAACCCCTTGCCCAGAGCCCACAGTCTGATAGCCTGTGAGATTACTCGAGTATGGATTTTTTTCTTGCAGTTCTCAGAGGCAGGCAGCCTCTGGTTCACCACACCCAGGCAAGTGAGGGGGCTCAGAGCACTAAGGGATCCCAAGCAGGGAGAAAGTCATTGCCCCTGGCTTCCTAGAGGGGGTGGCATTGAATCCCAGAGAGGCCAGTGCCGCTCAGCTTCCTTGACTGTGTCAGAATCACCCAAGAAAAGTTTTAGAAATCACTAGAGCCCAAGCCTCACCCCAGAACTGTTGAGTCAGCCTCTGGGAGATGGCCTTTGGTGATTTTGGACATGTCCCCGTGTTCAAGGAGCATTTTCAAGGTCTTGAAATATGGATAGAAAATGCTGGTATATCAGCCTACAGGAGGCTGAAGCAGGAGGATTGCTTTGAGGAACTCAGGCAGAAGTTCAGGGCCAGCCTGACTGCATAGTCATATGCTGTCTCAAAAAAAAAAAAA